CCTCCATAGCAGGGCTTTGACCCTCGAGCTCGCTGGGATGGCACGTCCATCCCTAAGCCCTGAACTGAGCAGCAGGGATGACCAGGGAGGCTCGTGTTCACCAAGCACGCACCGTCCACCGGCCCAGCATTAATGAGCACCCACCACGTACCGGCCCAGCATTACTGAGCACCTACTGTGTACCGGCCCAGCATTACTGAGCACCTACTGTGTACCGGCCCAGCATTACTGAGCACCTACTGTGTACCGGCCCAGCATTACTGACCACCCACTGTGTACCGGCCCTGCATTACTGAGCACCTACTGTGTACCGGCCCTGCATTACTGAGCACCTATTGCCCAGCATTACTGACCACCCACTGTGTACCGACCCAGCATTACTGAGCACCCACTGTGTACCGGCCCAGTATTACTGACCACCCACCGTGTACCGACCCAGCATTACTGAGCACCTGGCCCAGTATTACTGACCACCCACCGTGTACCGACCCAGCATTACTGAGCACCTACTGTGTACCGGCCCTACATTACTGACCACCTACTGCGTACCGGCCCAGCATTACTGACCACCCACTGCGTACTGGCCCTGCATTACTGAGCACCTACTGTGTACTGGCCCAGCATACTGACCACCCACTGCGTACCGACCCAGCATTACTGAGCACCTACCGTGTACCGGCCCAGCATTACTGACCACCTACCGTGTACCGGCCCAGCATTACTGAGCACCCACCGCGTACCGGCCCAGCATTACCGACCACCCACCGCGTACCGACCCAGCATTCCCGACCACCCACCGCGTACCGGCCCAGCATTACCGACCACCCACCGCGTACCGGCCCAGCATTACCGACCACCCACCGCGTACCGGCCCAGCATTACCGACCACCCACCGCGTACCGGCCCTGCATTCCCGACCACCCACCGCGTACCGGCCCAGCATTACTGACCACCCACCGCGTACCGGCCCAGCATTACTGACCACCCACCGCGTACCGGCCCAGCATTACT